GGCACGAATACTAAATATGACCAAACGTGAACACAGATGGAGTTTGGGGGAAATAGACCTTGACATTTGGGAGTTGTAGTTCACCTCCATCCAGAGAGCACTGTGGATACAAGCAATGATGGATCTGGACCAAACGTGGCACGAATACTAAATATGACCAAACGTGAACACAGATGGAGTTTGGGGGAAATAGACCTTGACATTTGGGAGTTGTAGTTCACCTCCATCCAGAGAGCACTGTGGATACAAGCAATGATGGATCTGGACCAAACGTGGCACGAATACTAAATATGACCAAACGTGAACACAGATGGAGTTTGGGGGAAATAGACCTTGACATTTGGGAGTTGTAGTTCACCTCCATCCAGAGAGCACTGTGGATACAAGCAATGATGGATCTGGACCAAACGTGGCACGAATACTAAATATGACCAAACGTGAACACAGATGGAGTTTGGGGGAAATAGACCTTGACATTTGGGAGTTGTAGTTCACCTCCATCCAGAGAGCACTGTGGATACAAGCAATGATGGATCTGGACCAAACTGGCATGAATACTAAATATGACCAAACGTGAACACAGATGGAGTTTGGGGGAAATAGACCTTGACATTTGGGAGTTGTAGTTCACCTCCATCCAGAGAGCACTGTGGATACAAGCAATGATGGATCTGGACCAAACTTGGCATGAATACTAAATATGACCAAACGTGAACACAGATGGAGTTTGGGGGAAATAGACCTTGACATTTGGGAGTTGTAGTTCACCTCCATCCAGAGAGCACTGTGGATACAAGCAATGATGGATCTGGACCAAACTTGGCACGAATACTAAATATGACCAAACGTGAACACAGATGGAGTTTGGGGGAAATAGACCTTGACATTTGGGAGTTGTAGTTACTAGGATGTATAGTTCACCTACAATCAAAGAGCATTCCAAACCCCACCAACGATGGAATTGGGCCAAACATCCCACACAGAACCCCCATGACCAACAGAAAATACTGTGTTTTCTGGTGGTCTTTGGTGACCCTTCTGACACCCCCCTGGTGACCCCCCCCCCCCGGGTCTTGACTTCCCAGGTTGAGAAATGCTGCCTTAAGGTCAACTCCCTTCACAAGGGCAAGAAAACATAATCAAAGCACTGCCAGGCCATCAAATGCTAATCAAGGTGGTCAGTTGAAACATTCACACCTAGCTCCAGCAGACAAGAGTCCTTTGCCCCACCCTGCTCATTCCACAGATATATAAACCCTTTTTCCTAGTTCCAACAGACCTCACTACCTCTGAGGATGCTTGCCATAGATGCAGGCGAAACGTCAGGAGAAAATGCCTCTAGGCCATGGCCATATAGCCCGAAAAAACCTACAACAACCCAGTGATTCCGGCCATGAAATCCTTTGACAAGACATTACTGATATTATTATTATTATTTAGTGATATTATTATTATTATCATTATTATTTAGTGACATTATTATTATTTTTATTATGATTCCGCTTTCTGTCTGCAAGAGAGAGACTCGGTCCTTCCTTTGGTTGTGGATGGAGTCCCTCCCGCGGGACCTTTGCCTCCTTGTAACCTCTGGCCGGGCAGAGAAAGAGGTTATCTTGGGTCACAAGGGAGGAAAGAAGGCGGGGGGGGGGGGTGGTCTTGTGCTGACTCCTCCCCTTTCCCCCCTCCAGCTCATGGGGGGGGGGGAGCTCTAAATATCCTCTTGGCATCAGGAGCTGCTGCTGGAGGGAGGGAGGAAGCAGAGCTGCAAAGAGGGAGAGCGAAGGCTCTGAATGGCCGCCCTGATGCAGGGGAGGGGGGGATGTGTTATGGAAGAGGGGGAGGGCACAGCTGTGGCATCTTTCCTCCTTCCATGGGTAACTTCAGCTACAGCCAAGAGCTGCCCCCTCCTCAAAAGGGCGGCATGGCTGCAAAGGCGGGGGGGGGGGGGGCAGGCCTCGGTAAACAAGGCACAAACGCAGCCAGGCAGACAAACAAGGTCTTGTGCTTTGCATTTGGAAACAGAGAGCGCTCCAAGGCAGGAAAAGGGGGGGGGCGTGGGAATGGGGGGGGGGTCTCGAGGCACTCTGCAGATCCATCAGATTGCCCTCATTCACGGGAAGCCTGGAATAATAATAATAATAATAATAATAATAATAATAATAATAATAATAATAGTTGTTGTTGTTGTTGTATTTCTGACCCACCTCTTCTCAAAGCAGGGTTGCAACATAATTAGAACACACAAGCACGGCCAAAATTCTATACAAGATACATAATAAAATGTCTTTCTGTAAAATACATATTAAAATGCACCCGACAGAGATGAAACCAGGACGTGGAAGAGGGGCCAAGAAGGGGAGCAATGCCCTGCCAGCCTGCAAGGTGCGCCCCGGCCCCGGCCTCTGACCCTTGAAGGATCTTGGCGTCTCTTTGCAGAGAGAAAAGGGGGGCATACATACACATCATAATCATAATAATAACTCAGGCAACATCAGTGGGGAGCCCCACCTTCAGCCCCACAGGAAGGGAACCCCAGGTGGGGAGACAGAGATGTGGCCATTCCCACAGAGCCCCCTCCCCTTAGGCTCCTGCTTGATGGAGACGCTGGACACAGGCATGTAGCTGGGGGGGGGGGGGGGGCTTGAGGGGCTTCAGCCCCCCCCCCCGAAATTCTCATGGTGGTCCTGCGAGAAGGCTTTACTGGTGCATTATTTAAACTGTTATGTTTATTCATATCATGATCTGATCACCATGCATGGGGGGATTGGGGTAACAATACAAAAGGTTTGCTAGGGTAGACCCTCTCTCACTCAGACTGAGACTCAGACCCCCCCCCAAATCAAAATCCTGGCTGGACACATCCGTGTGGCCCTCCCCGCAAGTCTCTCACAAGAGCAAAGGACCCCTTGCAGCCGCTCTGGACTGCTTTCTTTTAGGGGGAGGGGGGCTTGCAGAGATTGCAGCCTCAAAGGGAAGGAGCCCCCTCTGCCCCCCCCCCCAAATGCTGCTAAGCCTTTTGGAAAGTGCGGATGTGGCTGGCCCATTTCTGCAGCTCGATCAGCCTTCGCTCTTGAACCAGAGAACAGGAAAAGGCAGAGGAAGCAGCCGCACGCACTTCCTGCCCTGGCTCTGCCACATCCTGCCCTCCCCAGGAACCACCCAGGCTGAGCCTAATGCAGAAGCAGCCCCCCCCCAAAATGGAGGAGGGGGTGCATGTTCTTAGACCTGGCTGAGGAGCGGGATCTAAATAGGGACCCCTGCATCTCCCTTCCTGGCGTCCTTTCGGATTTACTGCTTTCTATAAACAGGATTTTGAGGGAGAAAGGAAGATAATACAACTACAGCTATCACAGCAGAGTACGATGGATAAGTCAAACCAGAAAAAAACCCCATTAAGGTCATTTCTTGGAATGTAAAAGGTCTGAGTTCACCAATTAAAAGAGGAAAGGTATTTAAATTTATAAAGAAAACAAATCCTTCCCCCCCCCCCCGTTTTGTCCCTCCCCTCCCCTCTTGAGGGCTGGTCAGCCTCCCTAGCCCAGAAGGGCCTGCGCCGCGTGGCATGAGACCCTCCCCTAAGGCACACCTCAGATTTTGGGGGAGAGACCTGGGGATGTCCATCAAGCTCTGGTCAGCTGCCATAACCAAAACCACAACATCAACAACAATGGGGTGTTGTGTTCTTTCCAGGCTGTATGGCCAATGGATTCAGCATTCAGCAAGGACATCTAATCATCTCCCAACAAAAGATTGCTCCAGGCACTGCCAGGCAATCAAATGCTAATCAAGGTGGTCAGTTGAAACATTCACACCTAGCTCCAGCAGACAAGAGTCCTTTGTCCCACCCTGGTCATTATTCCACAGATATATAAACCCATTTTCCTAGTTCCAACAGACCTCACTACCTCTGAGGATGCTTGCCATAGATGCAGGCGAAACGTCAGGAGAGAATGCCTCTAGAACATGGCCATATAGCCCGAAAAAACCTACAACAACCCAGTGATTCCGGCCATGAAAGCCTTCGACAATACATTAAACAAGGACATCTAATCACCTCTCAACAAAAGTTTGCTCCAGGCACTGCCAGGCCATTATATGCTAATCAAGGTGGTCAGTTGAAACATTCACACCTAGCTCCAGCAGACAAGAGTCCTTTGTCCCACCCTGGTATTTCCACAGATATATAAACCCATTTTCCTAGTTCCAACAGACCTCACTACCTCTGAGGATGCTTGCCATAGATGCAGGCGAAACGTCAGGAGAGAATGCCTCTAGAACATGGCCATACAGCCCGAAAAAACCTACAACAACCCATTTTCTTCTCCTCCTGATGTTCGGCCTGCATCTGTACTTGGCATCATCCTCAGAGGACCTGATGGTGGGACAGCAAGTTGGATCCCACTCAACGCATGCAAATCAAGCTTGCTAACTGCACTGTTTACACTCATTGAACAGACAATGGTTCTTTCTCCCACCTGGACATGATTACACAGGTATGTATATATGTACACACACACACACACCCCTTGCTTGGCTACCACCAGGTCCTCCGAAGATGCCCGGAGCCACAGATGCCGGCAAAATGTCAAGCGGAGAAAATGCACAACAACAGAGAGGAAGCAGGCAGGGACATCTAATCACCTCTCAACAAAAGATTGCTCCAGGCACTGCCAGGCTAATCAAGGTGGTCAGTTGAAACATTCACACCTAGCTCCAGCAGACAAGAGTCCTTTGTCCCACCCTGGTCATTCCACAGATATATAAACCCTTTTTCCTACTTCCAACAGACCTCACAACATCTGAGGATGCTTGCCATACATGCAGGAGAAAATGCCTCTAGAACATGGCCATATAGCCCAAAAAAACCTACAACAACCCGGAGAAAATGCTGATAGAACACATTCACTACACAGCCTGGAAACCACACAACAACACTCCAGCGATTCTGGCCATGAAAGCCTTCGACAAAACAACAACAACAACAACCACAATGTATGTAAGTATGACCTGCTGCCTCTCCTTGTGGCTTGTGGACATGTGGCACCGGGAAATGCTCCTTTGGCCCTGCTGCCCTAAGGCCTCTCTTGACCCACGTCCCCACTGGCTGACCACCGGCCACTTCCCCATCCATTCCCCCCACATCCATGCCTGGGCAAGCTACGGCCCTCCCTCTGGGTGTTTTGGACTTCAACTCCCACAATTCCTAGCAGCCGGAGCTGGCACGCCTTACCGACGGCGGGGGCCTCGTACTCGTCGCCCAGCAGGATCTCGGGGGCGGAGTAGGCCAGGGAGCCGCAGGACGTGGCCAGCATGCTGCCCGGCTGGAAGCAGTTGCTGAATCCGAAGTCGGTGAGCTTGACCACGCTCTGCTCCTGGAAGAAGACCACGTTCTCGGGCTTGAGGTCGCGGTGCACCACGTGGAGGCGGTGGCAGTAGGCGATGGCGTGGACGATCTGGGCGAAGTAGTGCTTGGCGCGCTCCTCGCCCAGGCCGCCCTCGTGGCGCAGGAGGTGGTCGAACATGTCCCCGCCGCTGCCCAGCTCCAGGATGAGGTACAGCTTGGCCTGCGTGTCGATGACCTCGTACAGGCGCACCACGTTGGGGTGCTGCACCAGCTTCATGCAGCGCACCTCCTGCAGCAGCTGCGCCACCGCCCCGCCCCCCCGCAGCTTGCCCTTGTCGATCACCTTCACCGCCACCCGCTCCCCCGTGAAGACGTGCCGGGCCAGGCGCACCACCGCAAAGTGGCCCTTGCCCAGCGTGCCCTCCAGGTCGTACAGCCCAGCGATCTGGCCCTCTGCCGGGGAGCAGGACGAGGACGACGAGGACGCGGAGGAGGAGGACATCCTGGCACCCGCTCCTCACCGGCACATGGAGGGGACCGAGGGGGAGAAGCCCTGCAAGGAGGAAACACGCCGGAAGTCAGAGAGGAAGGGGCTTCCCACAGCAACACCCAACTATCTGAAAAACAACAAGATTAACACACAGCAAACAAGACAACTATGCTACTTGTTGTATTGGATCACATGTCAGGCACTTCCCAAGTGTCTAGGACTGTTATTATTGTTATTATTATTATTATTATTTGAATCACAACAGGATGAGTCCACAGCAGACACTCTGCTGGCTGTTGTGTTGGATCACACGTCAGACACTTCCCAAGTGTCTAGGACTGTGTGATGTATTATTATTATTATGATTATTATGATGATTATTATTATTAACACAACAAGATGAGTCCACAGCAAACACTCTGCTGGCTGTTGTATTGGCTCACACGTCAGACACTTCCCAAGTGACTAGGACTCGGACAGGAACAACCAACTTTTGTTGTTGTTGTTTACTTTATTTATTTATACCTCCCTCCCCCCCCCCCCCCCCATGGACAGAGCAGGCCCTGAAAGGAGGGAAGAGGCTGGATGTGAAAGAGAGGAAGGGGCTCCAGGCAGGACCGCCCAACTACCACCCTCCTCCTCCTCCTCCTCCTCCCTACAAAGGGTCCGCTGGGTCTCCTGCGTAGGCCCAGCCCCTGGGGAGCTCCCCCAAAGTTCAGACTAGAGCCAAGGGTCCAAGTGTGGCGTGGTTGGCGTGGGACTTGGATTATGACTGCTCTTCCCTTTATTTATGTTGCTGGTCTCCTCAAAGGGACTCCAGCATCCCACACTTCCCTCAAGTTTCAGGGTCTGCAGAACACGTTTTGAAAGCCAATTAAATATCACCGTGGGGTTAAAAACAGGCCCACAGCGGGGTGGGGGCTCCCTGGCACCCCCACTGCCAGATGGAGGGCCTACGGGCTGCAGGGACCGGCCCTCCCTCCCATCACCCATCACCCTTCCTTCCTTCCTTCCTTCTTCTTCCCATTCTTCTTTCTTCCTTTCTTTCTTCCCATTTTTCTTCCCTCCCTCCCTCTCTTCTTTCCTCCTTCCCCTTTCATTCATTGCTTTTTTCTTCCTTCCTTCCTTCCTTCTTCTCTTTCTTCCCATTCTTCCTCCTTCCTGCCTGCCTTTCTTCCTTCTCCTTCCTTCATCCCTCCCCATTCTTCTTCCTCCCTTGCTTCTTTCTTCCCATTCTTCTTCTTTCCTGCCTGCCTGCCTTCCTTCCTCCCTTCCCTCCCTCTCTTCCTTCCTTCTTCTCATGCTTCTTCCTCCCTCCCCTTTCATTTCTTCAGTTCTTTTTTCTTCCTCCCTCCCTCCCATTCTTCTTCCTCCCTTTCTTCCCATTATTTTTCCTTCCTGCCTGCCTTCTTTCCTCACATCCCTCCCTTCCTCCCACTTCCCTTCCATCTTTTCTTCTTCCTTCCTTCTTCCCATTCTTCTTCCTTCCCTCCATTCTGCTTTATTTTTCTTCCTTTCTACCTCCCATTCTTCCCCTCCTTCTTCCTCCCTCCCCTTTCCCTGCCTCTCATCCTTCTTTCCTTCTTCCTTTCTTTTCCTCCTTACTTCCTCCCCTTCTCCTTCCTTCCTTTTTTATTTCTTTTTCTTCCTTCATCCAATTCCTACTTGTCTTCTTTCCTCTCTTCCCTCCCACTTCCCTTCCATCTTTTCTTCTTCCTCTTCCTTCCTTCTTCCCATTCTTCTTCCTTCCCTCCATTCTGCTTTATTTTTCTTCCTTTCTACCTCCCATTCTTCCCCTCCTTCTTCCTCCCTCCCCTTTCCCTGCCTCTCATCCTTCTTTCCTTCTTCCTTTCTTTTCCTCCTTACTTCCTCCCCTTCTCCTTCCTTCCTTTTTTATTTCTTTTTCTTCCTTCATCCAATTCCTACTTGTCTTCTTTCCTCTCTTCCCTCCCACTTCCCTTCCATCTTTTCTTCTTCCTCTTCCTTCCTTCTTCCCATCCTTCTTCCTTCCTCCCATTCTTTTTTATTTCTTTCTCTTCCTTCCTTCTTCCTGCCTGCCTTCTTTCCTCACTTCCCTCCCTCCCACTTCCATCTTTTCTTCTTCCTTTTCTTCCTTCCTTCTTCCCATTCTTCTTCCTTCCTTCCATTCTGCTTTATTCTTCCTACTTTCTTCCTCCCATTCTGCTTTATTCTCCTTCCTTTGTCTTTTTCTTCCCTCTTCCCTCCCTCCTTCCCTCTCTTCTTCTTTCTCCTCCCTTCCCTTTTCTCTCTCTTTCCTCTTCCTCCCTTCCTTCCTTCCTTTTTTCCTTGCCTTTCCTTCCTTCTTCCCATTTTTCTTTCTCTTCCTTTCTTCTTCCCCTTCTTCTTCCTCCCTCCCTTTTCTCTGCTTCTCGTCCTTCTTTTCTTCTTCCTCTCTTTTCTTCCTTCCTTCCTCCCCTTCTCCTTCCTTCCTTCCTTCCTTCCTTTTTTATTTCTTTTTCTTCCTTCAGCCAATTCCTGCTTGCCTTCTTTCCTCTCTTCCCTCCTACTTCCCTTCCATCTTTTCTTCTTCCCATTCTTCCTTCCTTACATTCTGATTTACTTTTCTTCCTTTCTTCCTCCCATTCTTCTTTCTTTCTTTCTCTCTCCACTTCTTTCTTTCTCTTCCTTTCTTCTTCCCGTTCTTCTTCCTCCCTTTTCTCTGCCTCTCATCCTTCTTTCCTTCTTCCTTTCTTTTCCTCCTTCCTTCCTTCCCTTGTCCCTTCCTTTTTTCTTTTTCTTCCTTCTTCCCATTCTCCTTCCTTCCTTCCTTCCTTCCTTCTTCTCACTCTTCTTCCTCCCCCCTCCTTCCCTTCCTCCTTCCCCAAAACAACCCCCCTCCCAAAAGGCATGAAGTCCCGCGGGGATTGCCCCCCCCCCCAGGAGGCCTCCCTGCCTGTCCAACAAGGGGTGGGGGTTATGTGGGAGGGGGGCACCCCCCATATGGGAACCACGGGCAAAGGGAGGGGTAACGAGGGGGGGGGGCTGAAAGAACACCCCTCCCAAAACAGTCTCTGGAGTTGGGGGGGGGGGAATACCCACAACCCCCTCCTTTGGAAGTTGCCAGTGGGCCCCAAGAGGGGGGGGGGCTGCACTCTAGAGAGAGGCCGAAGTGAGTGTGTCTCTGGGGGGGGGGTCCTTCCTTCGCTCCCTTCCCTCTGGGAGGGGGGGTGTTGTTGCAGGAGGGGGAAGGGAGCGAAGGAAGGACCCCCCCCGAGACACACTCACTTCGGCCTCCCCCCCCCAAACTCCCCCCCCTCCCCCGGGGGCCGGAATCCTACCCGCAGAGGCCGAGGGGCGCAGACGCAGGCGCAGACGCAGACGCAGCAGCAGCAGAGATGCCTCCCAGGCCCCCCCACCTTCCTCCGCGGTGACGTCAGAGGCGCCCAGGTGGGAGGGGCCTCGCGGAATGAAGCCCCGCCCACCGGGAGTCTCCCCGGAGAAGCCCCGCCCCCTCCCTTGCTGCCAGCACACAGCCGGGCGGGCGGGGGGGGGGGCGTTTGGAGCCACGCGTGTCTCTTTCCCACGTCAGGATGCGGGTTTTGCAAACCCTGGGTTTTGTCCCTAGGTTTGCAATGCCGTCATCGCCTCACCAACACAGGAGGAAAGTCTCTTCCTCAAGGACACAAAGTTTCTTTCTTCAGGATGGAGGGACTTCCTGCTCGAGCCCATTCTACTCTGTTATTGTAGCACAATTGTATTATTATTATGATGTACTAGCCATCCCCTGCCAGGCGTTTCTGGGGATATGGAAAATAAAGTAATCATCACAAAGTGGGTTGTTGTAGGTTTTTTTCGGGCTACATAGCCATGGTCTAGACTAGAGGCATTCTCTCCTGACGTTTCGCCTGCATCTATGGCAAGCATCCTCAGAGGGAGTGAGGTCTGTTGGAACTGGGAAAAGGGGTTTCTATATCTGTGGAATGATGACCAGGGTGGGACAAAGGACTCTTGTCTGCTGGAGCTAGGTGGGAATGTTTCAACTGACCACCTTGATTAGCATATAATGGCCTGGCAGTGCCTGGAGCAAACTTTTGTTGAGAGGTGATTAGATGTCCTTGTTTAATGTATTGTCAAAGGCTTTCATGGCCGGAATCACTGGGTTGTTGTAGGTTTTTCCGGGCTATATGGCCATGTTCTAGAGGCATTCTCTCCTGACGTTTCGCCTGCATCTATGGCAAGCATCCTCAGAGGTAGTGAGGTCTGTTGGAAGTAGGAAAATGGGTTTATATATCTGTGGAATGACCAGGGTGGGACAAAGGACTCTTGTCTGCTGGAGCTAAGTGGGAATGTTTCAACTGACCACCTTGATTAGCATACAATGGCCTGGCAGTGCCTGGAGTAATCTTTTGTTGAGAGGTGATTAGAGGTCCTTGTTGGTTTCCTCTCTGTTGTTGTGCTGTTGGTAATGAGACAGGGTTGGTTTCTAATTTATGTAATTCCTTTCTGCTTGGGGGTAAACAGTATTTCTTGCTGTGTCTTTGTCAGTGTTGATGTGGAGAGTGTCTGGTTTGCCTACTCTGGAATATGCAACATATCATAGTCCTTCTTTAGGAGTCCCTTTCAGATCTAGGATACTATATCTCTGTGTGTGAGTCATATCTATCTCTCTATATCTCTGGCTGGATGGCTCTTTGTCAGGAGGGCTTTGGTTGCGTGTTCTTGCCCTGGTGAACAAGGGAGTTGGACGGGATGGCCTTAAGTATTTTCTGTTCGTCATGCATAGGGGTTCTGTATGGGAAGTTTGGCCCAATTCTATTGTTGGTGGAGTTCAGGATGTTCTTTGGTTGAGGTGAACTATAAATCCCAAAAACTACAACTCCCAAATGCCAGGCTCTATTTTCCCCAAACTCCATCAGTGTTCACATTTGGGCAGACTGAGGTTTCATGCCAAGTTTGGTCCAGATCCATCATTGTTTGAGTCCACAGTGCTCTCTGGATGTAGGTGAACTACAACTCCTAAACTCAAGGTCAATGCCCCCCAAACCCTTCCAGTATTTTCTGTTGATCATGGGAGTCCTGTGTGCCAAGTTTGGTTCAATTCCATAATTGGTGGAGTTTAGAATGCCCTTTGATTGTAGGTGAACTATAAATCCCAGTAACCACAAATCCCAAATGTCAAGGTCTATTTCCCCAAAACTCCATCTGTGTTTATATTTGGGCATATGGAATATTCATGCCAAGTTTGGTCCAGATCCATCATTGTTTGAGTCCACAGTGCTCTCTGGATGTAGGTGAACTACAACTCCCAAACTCAAGGTCAATGCCCACCAAACCCTTCCAGTATTTTCTGTTGATCATGGGAGTCCTGTGTGCCACGTTTGGTTCAATTCCATCATTAGTGGAATTCAGAATGCTCTTTGATTTTGGGTGAACTATAAATCCCAGCAACTACACCTCCCAAGTGACAAAATCAATTTTTTGAGTGATGGTCACTCTTTGGATTGGTAGGTGTCTTGTGACCAAATTTGGTGTCCATTTGTCCAATGGTTTTTGAGTTCTGTGAATCCCACAAACGAACATGACATTTTTATTTATATAGATTGCACTATGTATCGCTATGATTTTTAGGAGCCCCCGGTGGCGCAGTGGGTTAAAGCCCTGTGCCGGCAGGACTGAAGACCGACGTTGTAGGTTCGAATCCGGGGAGAGGCGGATGAGCTCCCTCTGTCAGCTCCAGCTCCTCATGCGAGGACATGAGAGAAGCCTCCCACAAGGATGGTAAAACATCAAATCATCCGGGCATTGTCCCCTGGCCAACGTCCTTGCAGACAGCCAATTCTCTCACACCAGAAGCGACTTGCAGTTTCTCAAGTCGCTCCTGACACAACAAAAAAAACACAACAAAACTATGATTTTTGTCCCTGGATTATAGATGTCATTATTTCCTAATTGGTCTTGCCATAAAAACATGGGAAAGTTTATGAAACTGCCAAAGCTTGGTTTCTGTGGAAGGGAAGGAGGGATTGCATGCTTTGGCAATACTTTCTCATTGGATCTCAACCAATGGCAGCCTAGTTTGTGTCAATCACAACAAGGACATATCTGGAGCAGAAGCGCAATTAAACAGGAAATAGAACCCTTTCAAACCAGGAACAGAAAATGTTCTTTTCTGGCCTCTCCAGTTCATTTGATCCTTGGAGCTTGTAAGAAATAATAACAATGATAATTATAATGGTTTATTATTCATTTCATTTATTTCAAATATTTATACCCCGCCCTTCTCAACCCCCGGGGGAGGGGGGGGCCCTCAGGGCAGCTTCCAGCCAGCATGATTCAATCCCTACGCGAGTACATAACAATACATAATAACAATGCATAATAAAACCAATAATTTCATACAATTACAAAGACACCTATCAGGACAACAAGTGACCATCTATATATATAAATCTGTAAGGGGCGTCGAACGGGACAGCAAAACTCAAAAAAAACCCCGAACGAAAATTTAACAAAATTCCCATGCACATACCTCAACCCACAAGGTATGCACAAATCGATTCAAAATACTATACATCATAACAACACACTCACAATTAGACAAAACAACTGAGCATGCGCAATGACACCCCGCCGCAAATCCCTGGCACACGCACATGACCTTCCGTGCAAGCCACGCCCCATCCTCCCCCGCCCCGCCCCACATGACCACGCCACACCACGCCCCCTCCCTCCCCCACCCCACCCCACATGTTCATGTTCGCCAATCTTACCACCTCCCCATCCTTCTTCTTCCCCTCCAAACCCCGCCCCGTCCCTTCCCGCCTTGTCCAAATCCATCCCTCCTCCCCCTCCTTCTTCTTCCCCTCCAAACCCCCCCCCCGCCCCCCCTTCCCGTAGAGAAAGGGAGGGAAGGAAAGAAGGAAAGAGAGAAGGAAGGAAAAAAAGAGACAGCAGAAGAGAAAGAAAAAGGGGGAGGAAGGAAAGAGATAGAGAAGGAAGAAGAGAAGGAAAGACGGGAAGGAAGGAAAGAAGGAAGAAAGAGAAAGGGAGGTAAAGAAAAAGGGGGAAGGAAGGAAAGTAAGAGAAAGAAGGAAGAAGAAAAGGAAAGAAAAGGAAAGATGGAAGGAAAGATAAGAGAGACAGCAGAAGAGAAAGAAAAAGGGGGAAGGAAGGAAAGAGGTAGAGAAGGAAGAAATGAGAGAAAGAGGGAGGGAAAGAAAAAGGGGGAAGGGAGGAAGGAGAGAAGGAAAGAAAAAAGGGAATGAAGGAAGGAAAGAGGGAGTGAAGGAAGGGGGAAGATGTAGAGAAAGAGGGAGGGAAGGAAAGAAGGAAAGAGAGAAGGAAGAAAAGAGACCAGAAGAGAAAGAAAAAGGGGAAGGAAGGAAGATAGAGAAGGAAGAGGAGAAGGAAAGATGGGAAGGAAGGAAGGAAGGAAGGAAGGAAGGAAGGAAGGAAGGAAGGAAGGAAAGAAAGAAAGTAGGAGAGAAAGAGGGAAGGTTGGCCACAGCAACGCATGGCGGGTACAGCTAGTTACTCATAAAAACACTGAAAAACACAACAGAAGGGACTTAAAAAGCAACCCCCCAAAAATACATTACAATGCATGTGCAAAACCACACACATATATATATACACAAACACACACACATACACACATCTATGCATATATACGCATAGAGAAGCCTAATTTTAAGCAATTTATTTTCCCTAAGTTCCCAAAAAGAATCTCACCAAAGTTGAAGAAAGTGCCACCGAGATGATTTATTAGCGATTCAGCTGAAAAGGATGCAAAGCGGCAATCATTCGCTAAGCTAAGCATGCATGTACAGAAATAAATGCCATTTTTATAGAAAATACAGCGTTATGTGGTTCAAAACTCCCGCTCCCCGCCCAACACAGGGCTTCCGCGGTGCACCAGAGCCAATCAGAAGACTCCTGCCGCCTCGGTGCTCCAGCGAATCAGAAGGGAGGGAGGTGGGATGAAGGAAAACAATGCATTCTTGAATGGATTATGAAGTTACAGGAAATGTCCAGGGGGGCTAACGACTCCAAACCGGCCTTCAAGAAAAGGCAATCTATTGTGTCGTGATGGGTCGGAGATAAGCATTGATCACTTAATCCGAGTATTCCTCTTGCGGTTGGATTGGGGCACAAAGGGGGACTTTGGTGAATGTCTTGAATGAGAAGGCTTGAAAGAAAATGGGTTGGGAGGAAGAGGACTTTCTGATGGTCATTTTACCTCCCATTGTAATGTGATTAAAAAGTCTGCCAAGTGATTATCTTCTTGATGGCCAGCCTCCGAGGTCAAGAAAATATTCCTTTGTTATTTTTCCATGCAAGAAATGTAGTGAGATAAGGGTTTCCACAACCGCTAATTGATTTCACAGAGCCAGGGCAACTTCCTTACA